CTTCGATGATTTTTTGTATTTCAGTTTTGATTTTCAGGGATGAGACCAGTCCTCACTGAAAAGGTAGGGGAATTGGCCGGGGGTCCAGGGTACACGATTCACAAGAATGACCCAAATGACCCTGAAAAAGTCGGAATTCCGACAAAAGTCGGAAAAGTCTCATCAGTGGATTTTAAACCCACTAATACTACCATTTATTCCTATTTAGTTTAATATTGGTTATCACATGCCATGTATTTTGATACTAAGAATTTTAACTTTACAAACCATTATAATAGCACCGACTTGTGCCCCTATCAAAGCATACACTCCACCACTTGCCCCCGCCAAGAAACTGGACGGATCCGTCACAGAATGCGCCAGGGAGCCTAGGAGACGTAAAATTATCAAGATAACATTCACTGTATATACTGACATATGGAGCAGCCAGCCTGCAATTCCCCGCCCTGAGCTTTTCAGCACGAACGGTAGGCCTATAACTGAGCCTTTAAAAAACATCCATTCTTTGTCACCGGTAAGGCACACGCAGTACACAAGCCCTCCGACGGGGGACTCTGTGGTTATTTAGAAAATTTAAAAAATTGCAATTTTATAATAAACTATAAATTTTATAATTAACTACAGAGACCCCTATCAGAAGGTACATTAAATAGTTTACTCATTTTACTTCTGTTTATCTGATAAATTGGTTAACTGATATTTAGAAAAAAGTCAACAGTAAGAAAGGTAATTAAACAGGAAAAAACACAAACAAATGGACAGATATGGCCTTTTTACCTGCGAAGACTCCTAAAAAGTACACAATCATCATTCTCCACCATTCGTGCACCATCTCCATGGGAATGCCTAGTACCAGTTGGAAGACCAGATTACTAATAAGATGCGTATACCTGGGAACAGATACATACAGTTACATGGTGAATTACATGTCGCTTAGAGACTCACTGTCTTGATTTGACTTTTGACTCGTAAATCACAACAATACCCAGTACATTGGCAGAAAATCAAACTGAATTCTTGTAAAGTATAAATGTGAAAAAAAAATCGCAAAGAGCTCTGTGCCATAACTTGTCTGAGGAGCCGTGCGTGAAACGCATTTCTTCGGGCTGAACGTTATTCTATATTCAAAACTTGGTACAAAACTTGGTACAAAACTTACCCAACATGGATGCACATGTACGTCACAAATCTCCAGACCTCGTATCTCCGCGCAGGATTATAGATGAGTGGACTGTACGCTGGAAAACCCGAGGCGGCAGTCACCTCATATTTGGTACCTTTCAATTCTACAGCATATACAATGAATATGATAGTCTGAAAGGTAACAGATTTCAGTAAGAACAAAGTACCAAAAAAAAAAAAGTGTCATTTTGTCTCTCGAAACTATCAATATCAGCTGAGAGATTAATTTCGTCCGAAAACATACATGTATCTCACTAAGTGTTGTAAAATAATAACGCATTCGTGTAAACGTTAATGTACAGTATGTTCTTACTGTTATGACAAAAATATGAAAAATATGAAAAATCATTAGGATAAAACCTCTGCAAATATACAGAATATGAAATGATGCAGTTACGAAATAAGTTGACTTATCAGGCACATACCTCTAGCACACTAATAAAGATGATGAACAACGGCGGTGGCTTGCAGTTGTAGGCCTCTATGTAACTTTCTAAAGACTTCTCCTCTGTGGCATTCTCTGGCACCACTGTGCTTACGAGTCCCAACTTCAGCTGCTGCCATCTGGTGAGCTTGTTTAGATTTAGCCTTGGTCTCTCTGACAGAAACTACGAATTTGATAAAAGAAGAGCATTTACACCAGTTGAGAAAAGAGGAAAATTCTAAATCAGAAGAAAACACATAGTTTTTTTAATGATTTAAAGAAAATAAGCAATTATGGCTCTTACACTGATTTAACACGATAGGGAAATTTTCATAATTTTTTTTAATAGTTTCAAATAGATTTATAACATAAACTTTAAAATAGGTGTGCCTGTTACTGAATTTGCTACAAACATTTTTGTAATCAAAATATCCATCATTCCATATTCACTACATTTACGATTGGCGCAGAGTGCACAGAAACATCACAGGTTACTAAGAGGATGCTATCGAAATTTTCTTTTTTCTTCCCTTACCAGCTGTTCTAACTCTGGGTATGTGTACATGCCGTCTTTATTGGCGTCATACTGTTCCAGCATGCGTTGCCTTCCCCCGTGGGAGATCCGCTCCATCACCCCAGACGCATCCAAACGTTGCCGAATGTCTCTCAGAGGAATACCCTGTGCCTCTGGATCACCATCTCTTCCCTAGTAAGAAAAAATATTACTCTCAGTATTAATTCTTCATTGCTTCTCGTATCGTTTCTCTTAATAGTTTATCACTTTTTTTATCAACTCACTCGTTGCTTAATTTAATAGACAGTGAAAATATTCCAATACATAACTTTGTACAATGTTGTCATTGATCAATTTTAAATGTACAGTAGAAACAGACAATTTCAAAATGTAGAAACTACAGACACTCATTTAACTGGAAAAAAGAAAATCATCTAAGGCTTTGAAACAGTAATTAGAATAGAATAGAATAGACATAAAACATCTGCTAGTGGTATTTTTCAAAATCATTTCTCACCTCTTCGAACCATGGTTTTACAGTCTTCAGTGTTGGTTGGATATGGAATGCAAAAACATCGGAATAAGCCTCCATACTCATCATTATGTAACAATTTTTTTTCATTTGGCTTGTCTAAATGTGATGTCATTTTCACTTTGAATTAAATTTAATTTATAAGATATACCCATCAAAATGTTTTATAATTCCGGTACATTTACAGTGAACGACCCGCCATCATTAAGAAAAGACATATGGGGCAATATAATCATGCTTAACACGGGATTTACCCAACAAATTTAATTTTCCTCGGGGGGGAAAAAGGCAATTTTGAAAGACTGGCCAATCATTTAAAACGCCATATCTTGCTGTACTAGACAATTCAGAAGGAACTTTTGGCTATGGGTACTTTTATTTGAAGGGATTTATAGGTTTTTAAGGTCATATTTGGAAAGATAGACTTAAGTATCTATGCAGTATATATACACATAGAAATTATTATTTTTATTATTTTCAAACGCGTACAATGTACCTTAAATCATCTTTACCAATTTCCATTAAACTGTTGGAAAGCGTGTCCGTGTAGAAGAAAACTGCCTACTGCTGGATTTTGATTTGGAGTGGGGGTGGGGAGGGGCACGAAATTAAGGGGGTCGATAGTATTTATTTATTTTCTTATCCGCTTAAATAATGTAGAAATTCACCAGGGTGAATTTTCTAATTTGGGCTGATGACGTAACAGCAGCCTTTTTTTTTTTTTTGGGGGGGGGGCTGTAACATCGATTTCAAATGGATCTTCCTTACTTTTCACATTTAAATTTAATCAAATGCTTCCAGTGCCAGAAAGGCTTACTTCTTATTTCTTTTAGCAAAGAGTCGAATCAACGTTTTTGTTTAATGGAACATCGTGTTTCCTGAAATAAAAATATAGAACCAAACGGCACAAACTATTTTACCATAATATGTAGGACACGTGATTGAAAGAATTGCTTGTTTCGTTTCGTTTCGTTTGTTATTTTGATATTCTAAGGGAGAAAAATTTTCCTCCGAATCTAAGCAGGCTAAAGGAGGGGGACATGCGCCAGCTGTGGCTTTCCACCTAGATCGACCGTTGCAACCACGATTCTGATGGCTGTGAGGTGTCGAAGGTAAAGGGCAAGTAGATAAGATTTAAGGTACGAGCAAACTGTAAATGTTTGATTTAAGTTACATTATCTGCGTTTGAAAATGCACTGTTCATAGCTTCTTTGCTTACACATCCCGCAAAGATACTAATCTTTGCCAATAAAAACCAATTAAGATCGATAAAACCCCTCAAATAAAAGTACCTGCCCCGAGCTCCTCCTGTACAGCGGCTTAAAGGTGCATACGAACCGAGCATAGGTGGAGCGTGGATTCCCAGTAACACATGTCAATCACTTCTACTACTTTCTTATAAGACTCAAATAAATTCGACATGCCAAGGGATGAACTGAATAGATCACTCAATTAGCCATAAAAGAGGTGTAGACTGCTCCTTTCTTTAAAATTTTGGTTGGAAATTTACCCTACTTTCGTGACCTACTTTTCTGCCCCATTGACATACAGCAAAGAATGCTAGCAGAAAAATCTGTTCAAACATCATTTTCGGGTAAAATTAAACAATGCCTTTTGGTAATTCTCTTAATTATACTACTTGAAACTACATGATGGCATTTGGTTGGTTTTTGTAACAAAAATTTGACTTTGTATGCATCTTTAAGTAGCTGGCAGTTCGAATTATTCAGATTGAGAACTAACATCGAATCTTAGTACAGGGACGCATTGACTCTTGAATAGGAGAATTTTGTTTTTCGAGGAAAATTCTAATTATGATTCATTTCGTGAGAAAAGTAACAAATGGTGATGTAACGTAGGCTGATTCTGATATGGCTTGGGTCCATAATGCACGGCTAAGGTAAAACAGCTGCAGTCGAAACTGATAATTATCATAGACTAATTATATAAATCAACGCGACTTTTTAACTTGTCGAAAATGCCTCTCCTGTAGAGGTAAACACTACCAATGTACCTATTGTTTTAATAAAAATGATCACTTAATGCATATTTTTGTTTTCTTTCACAATGGAGGTCACCATGGCCCAGCCCCGTTTTTCTCCGAATTCTAATCAATAACCTTCGACCTTTAGATCACGCTTAGTCTTATCTTATCACAACATTATAAATAGTAGGACGTCTTGATCCCACGCGTACAGGACACTGCCCCAGACGAGAGAAATTCATGAGCCTAGGCGACTCAGACGAACATACTACAATTTCATACCGCACCAAGTCACTAAACGAAGTGACCAGTCCATCCAGGTCTCTGTTTTGTGAGAGGTCGGTGGACGAGATCGCAACGTTGGTAAGTCGTTGAAATTTTACCACGTAAGTTCCAGCATTGATTTGTATATTTTTCATATTCCAAATCTACCGGGTGCCTGAAATATGCAGCTCTTCTCACCTGACTTAGGTAGATTTTTAATTCTCGAATTTCTTCTTCCTTCCTTTTGCTATCAGCACTGTTGGGGTTATAATTCTTGGATGGCATCTCCTGTTGAACATGGCAACATATTTTTACAGCCAGCTCAAATTATTTAATTTTTCAGTTTAGGTTAGACACTAATCAAAAATATAAAAAAAATTGCATTAATTTCACATTTAGAATTATATGTTAAGCAAAGACGTAGGGTGATGAAAGATTTCAATTACAAAGGTGCAAACATCAATACATATACATCCCTTAAAAAGTTGGAATTAGTTCATATCTAGTATACTTTACGCCAAAGAAATCAGAAAATTACTGTTCAAACAAACAGACTTGATAAAGATTTAGCCGTTTGAAAGGCAACGCCAGGTGACCTGCAGCTGCACTGATGACTTTTAAAGTCTGTGACGTAACTTTAGCGAACAAAGAACTGGCGTCATTTTGACTATATGCACTTGACATATCTGTCTGTATATTTACCCTTTTCCTGCCAAATTCCTCGAGTTCGGTCCACAGGTGTATCAGGTCCGTTTAGACGAACAACGCATGAATGAACGTTAATGGTTTCTGTGAACTGGATAATATGAATCTACACATAACCAAGCTTAACCAGATTTAACTATGGTTATGCCAACATGAATTGTATTGTGTACCTTACAACATGGACGTTTTGTGCGATGAGTCATGTGATCAATATGAAGAATTTATCTTATCATTTTTTGTCTTATATCTGAGATAAAATAGCACAGCGTTATTGTAATTGGTCATAATGCAGCTTATGATATTACGCACTATTGACATTCTAGCAGATATATAAATTAATGTAAACAATGCAAAATATACGGTAGTTGTTTTCCCTGTCTAAATCTTTACCAGAATAATTCGATCAAAATGTCTTTCATATTTAGAATAATAACATTTAAAGAGTTAAAATAAAATGAAATAGATACATCAAAACTTCCCAAATAAGTGTTCAAGTCCATACGAAAACCTAAAAGCAAAGGATTTTCTACATTCTTATAATGTAGATTAACAAAGATCACCCTATTAGCTGCGTAGCTTTTTTTACACAATGGGAAAAAGACGAAAAAAGGTATAATTCCGTTGGACTGAGGCATGACCGTGTAGGAATGGTCTAGAGAAATTTATTATAACGCACAAAATTCACTTATTTATCATCATTGATATTGTAAAGATGCTTGATTATCACCAAAACTGCATGGGTTAGAAAAACTGTTGACAATCAATAAAGAGATGTTTAAATACAATCAGTTTTTCCCCTAGTCAACGTTTCTAAATCAGCTATAAAGGGACATTATCTCAAAGGAGGCTTTAAAAATAACTTTCATAATACAATATCAAACCAAATTTAAGTTGCCAAGGGAACTGAAAAATAAGTATCCTGCTCTCGTCGTCAAGCCTATATATAGCATGCCTCAATGCGCGAACCTAAAGATTTTGATACACTGGTGTTTTC